AATCTAATTTTAACAAAATGACTTCTAGAGTAACAATTCGCCACTGAAACTGCAAAACCTCGTAACAGCTATTTTTGGCCTATTACTGTTTATGATGTAAAACGTTTCTAAAAAGTGGTATACATGTACTTTTGCAAAACCTTGTAATAGTCTGACCCATGAGATGGTCTCAATTTATCATGTGACAAAAACACATAGTTGCATTGACTATGAATATGAAAGAAAAACCAAAATGAACATAAAAATGAAAGCAAAACACAATACGAGGTTTTGCAGTTTCAGTGAAGAATTAATGAAAGTGAATCAAACAACAAGCAAGATATTTCCACAGAGTTTAACAACTACTTTGCCAACATTGGTGCTGATTTTGCATCAAAAATTCAATGCCCAAATAATTCATTTAAAAGTTACTTAACAGGCTCACACTGCTCACACTGCAAATTTCAATGAAATAAATCAAAACGAACTTGAAATAGCTATAAAATCACTTAAAATCAAGTCCCCAACAATTATAGATCAATATGGGGTAAGTAAAGCACCTTTGAAAAAAATAAGAAAAACTGAACTATTTTACTAAAACAATTTGTTTTACCAAATTCAGTTTCGAAAAAATCTTTCAAATGAACACACAATACTTGAAATAGTATCATCAAAACTTCCAGAACAAATAACGTATAATAAATTATGATTTAAAGACTAACAAAATTATCAATAAAGGTCAATATGGTTTTCAAAAGCTAAACTCAACTGAGCATGCAATTCTTGACCTCTCAAATAGGATAGTAGATCATTAAAAAAAATTCACTTTAGGGATCTTTATTGATTTGTCAAAGGCATTTGACACCGTCAACCATGAGATTTTACTTACAAAAATTAAAAACTATGGCATAAAAAAACCAAGCTTTAAATTGGTTTAAAAACTACCTTAATAACAGACAAAAGTGTGTTAATATAGATAATAAAAGCAACTCAAATTTACTGAAAACAAAACCCCAAGGTTCCATTCTAGCTCCTCTTTTATTTCTTATTTATATAAACAATCTACTTAATGCCTCTAATATCTTTAAAACTGTAATGTTTGCCGACAACACAAACTTGTTTTACTCATCAAAGACAATCGAAAACCTCTTTGTAAAAATAAATGCTGAACTAAAAAAAACTAACATATTGGTTAAATCAAATAAACTGTCACTCAATATAAAAACAAATGCTGAACTAAAAAAAACTAACATATTGGTTAAATCAAATAAACTGTCACTCAATATAAAAACAAATGCTGAACTAAAAAAAACTAACATATTGGTTAATTCAAATAAACGTCACTCAATATAAAAACAAATGCTGAACTAAAAAAAACTAACATATTGGTTAAATCAAATAAACTGTCACTCAATATAAAAACAAATGCTGAACTAAAAAAAACTAACATATTGGTTAAATCAAATAAACTGTCACTCAATATAAAAACAAATGCTGAACTAAAAAAAACTAACATATTGGTTAAATCAAATAAACGTCACTCAATATAAAAACAAATGCTGAACTAAAAAAAACTAACATATTGGTTAAATCAAATAAACGTCACTCAATATAAAAACATACTATTCCATTCAAATCAACAATTTAAATTTAAATTTATAAAATTAAACCTTTATATATATAACCTTTAAACCTGAACCTACCAACAGTTAATTCAGAAAGTATAACCATCAAAAAAGCTATAAATACAAAGTTTTTAGGAGTTCTAATTGATGAACACATCTCCTGCAAACTCCACATAAACTACATAAACACAAAAATATCAAAGAACAAAGGTTTACTGTACAAGGCAAGACCAATTTTGTCACAAAAAAGTCTACAACTTGTCTACTTTTCATTCATAAATAGCTATATCATGAATGCCAATATAACATGGAGCAGTACCCATAAATCTAAATTCAAGATTAGTATACAACAAAAATAAATTTACTCATGCTTAACCATTACTTTAACATATGAACGCACTAAATATATTTCAAATAAATATTTTTTTAAATATACTTTTCATGTTTAAATATAAACTAAATCTGGTTCCAGAACATTTTACAGCACACTTTTTTAAAAACAATATAAATAATTACAAACAGGCAACTTTAAATTAACGTTTGAAACAACAAGACTCTCAAAATTCTCAATTACACATCGTGGTCCTTATTTATTAAACAAATTAGTTTTCAGAGAGTATTCGTTGTTTAAACTTAAACAACGAACACTCTCTGAAAATAAAGCGAAAATCTACAATAATCAAATTAACTAACTATAAGGATTTTTTTTAAATTTAAATAATAAAAAAAATAAATGTAGCTTAACTTTTAATACAAATTGATAATAAAAAATAATGATATTAATAGCAAGGTATATATGAAACACATACATATACACCACGTATGCAACTAATTTTTATGTCTAGAAAAAGGTATTCAATGACAAGATTGACTTGGAATTTAATTGGAAGAATTTAGAGATATTTATCGAATTATTTTTACGTTACTATATTGTTGTAATTGGTGTTTATTATAATCATGTCTCAGAGTTATATGCAACTATAATTTTACTTACTTCATATGTTTCGAACGTTATGTTAATGATATTTATATTTGTATATCTTTACCACCAATCAGTGATTGGTTACTTTTAAATACTTTAAAGTTGTAAAATAAACAAGTAAAAAAAAAAGTTTATATATATATATATATATATATATATATATATATATATATATATATATATATATATATATATATATATATATATATATATATATATATATATATATATATACATATATATATATATATATATATATATATATATATATATATATATATCTTGCATATATATAATTTTTCATGTAATATATATAGGAAAAATAGTTTTTTAAAATTGTTATCAAGTTTAAGATAGCAATGTTAATTTATACAATTTTACACGAAACTATTGTTGTGAAAAAAAACGTTAAACAGACTGAAAAGTATTAATTAATTAACTCAAAGAAGCTCAGAAAATTATAGACAATATTGTATTTAAAATTGTTATGTATTTTGTAAAATTTTGTACTCCTCCTAAAAATAATTTAAATTTTTTTTAAAGAGTACAAAATTGTTGCGTAATATTGTGGGGGGAGGGGGTCGATTAAGTATTACGATGCTTTACGAGGAAGAGGAGAGATGGGTTTAAAGAGGAAGTCAAAAATTGTCAAAAACTGCGTGACATAATTTATGGGCAACCCCATATACAACAATTTATCAAAACTATTTATTCCAGAATCAAAAATATTGTCTAGCCCTGCTTAGCACTTTCTTTGTGTAGGCTTGATTGCACGTAAACCTTTATACCAGAAGAGTAGCATCGTGCAGATGTATCACAGAGGAGTTAAAATTGTTACAGACGAAGAAAGAACATGAATTTACATTTCAAGAATTTGATTAATATTTATCAATAAAATAAAGATCAATACTATAAAACGAAAAAAGTAATATCCTAATTAATTATACTTTATTGTTGACTTATACATATACTTTAAAGAAAAAACAACAATATGTAACTCACGGAGAAATTAGTTGTAGATATAAAAAATGAAGTATTGAAATTTAATTAAGATATCAAATAATGATAATTGAATAAAATTTACTTGAACATATATTTTGATTTTGAGAAAATGAAATTTATCTGAAAATCACAAACAAAAATCGCGTGAAATAGTCGTTTGAAAGGCTACGTAACTTCGTTGCAAGTGCCTTTACGCCAGGCATATGTACTGGCGTTTTATTTATTTAAAATCGTACTGAGCTTACATCCAAATATCGAGATAACATCACACTGGATTCACTACTAGATTTTAAAACACTATCATGAACAACAATCTCTTCCGATATATGGACCTGATCAAAACTATCAAAATCTTGGTTTTGTTCTAATATATTAAGAGTGCATTTTTTGTAAATTCGATATTCGTTTAAATTGGAATGAAACATATCAGTGCAGTACATAAGAGTTAGCATTGTCATAGGAACTGATCGTGTAGTTAGTATTTTTTCTTGTTTTAATTTATCATAATTAGAATGCTCATCCCTTTTGAACGCTTTCCACCCGATACCATTGGTACATAATTTTTCATTTTTATTTAGTTTTCTCATAAGCCTATTTTTTGATTAGTTTTAGCTCATTCATTTCATAATTTGTCACATGCAGTTTAAAATTGTTAAAGTCCAATTAAAATTAAAGTATCCAATTGAATAGGCCATGAATATCATCCTCGTACATACTATATATATTGCAACCACCTCGCTGATTCAAAATAAATTCTTTATAATTCACTATATTAACTTCTGAAATTGAAAACAAACAAAACAATCATAAACTAAATATGCATTATTTTTAAATTAACTGTTATAAAAAAAACAAAAAAAATACAATATAAAAAAATAAAGTTATAGAAATCAGTTCTGACTACTTTCTTAAAATAATAATCAGGGAAAGTAAATGCAATAGCAGTCAAAGTTTACTCATTAGTAATGTGTTTATTTTCTTCATTTTTCTCTTAGCTAATTCATTGTGTTTTAATGAACATGAGCTTTTAGTACAATTACTCACAACTTAACGCAGGACCGAAGTACTGTAATTAGCAATTTGTTTTTTAATTAGTTTACTTAATAACGATACACGGAGGAAGCGTATTTTTCAAAGGCAATCAAAACTATATTAACGTTGATATCAACTTTTGTCACAGCAATTATTAAGCAAACCTGGAGTTTAATTTTACGATAATGCCAGGATGTTGAGTTTAAAGTTTGAGGTTTAAAGTAGTTATTTTATAAAATAATTTTCACAATAAAATGTAGAATAAAAACACAAATAAAATAAAATTTCAAAACAGAATGAATTAACTAAAAGAAAATAAACTCGTCACAAATAAGTAAACTTTTGACTGCTATTGCATGTTCTTTCCATGATTATTATTGATTACTTTTAGACTATGATTTCTAAACAACAAAGCACTTTTTATTTTTTTATTTTTTTTAGTAAAACTTGTTATTGGCTGTTATAAATAAGTTTTCAAAACTTATTAAAATAAAGTAATATTTCAATTATAGTTTCTTAAAAGTATGCCATATTGCAAAATAAGCAAAGTGACCGATTTTTAAAGTACCGCCCCTGACCGCTACTTTATATTTGCTCACTTTATACAAATACTTTAATGCGCTTTTTAAACTCATATCCATTCACAAAACTATTCTTATTTAAAATGCAATCACAATTTTGTGCAATCACAACAATCCGTTTTAAAATGCAATCACAACAATCCGTGCTTTGTTCATGTGAATTGGACCTTATGATTTTAGCGAATAAAATACCATTTTAATGATTAAAGCTGATTTGAAAAACCTACGCCTTCCTAAACATTTAAATACAGACATTAACAAAAAAGCAGTTCTACAAATAAGCGAAGAAAGTGCAGAAAATATGATAAAATAAACAAGTAATTTCTTTTTTAATGAATATTATAATGACGGTTGTTAACGTATGGTATACATATATATATATATATATATATATATATATATATATATATATATATATATATATATATATATATATATATATATATATATATATATATATATATATATATATATATTTAAAAGATGATAAATTTTTTAGAGATAAATTTTTTAATTCAAGTGTTTACTGAAAATGGCTACGACTAAAAAATGCTTAAAGATATTTCTAATCAGGTTCGAAAAAAACGTTTTACGAACAAAAATGAAATTCCATCAAACTCTAATAACCTTCCTACTATCTCTTTACCATGGATACTAATAATATCTCCCAGACTTAGAAGAATATTCAGAAAAGCTGGTTACAGAACTTTTTTTAAATCAAATGCTAACCTTAAAACGCTATTAACGTCTAAAAATAAGTCTAAATTATCATGCAACAGCACCCCAGGAACCTTTTTATTTAAGTGCAAATGCTCCAAAGTATACGTTGGTGAAACAAAACTTCAAATACAAACAAGGGTTCAACAACACCAAAAATTTTTGACTGAAGGCAAGTTAAACCAGTCTGCATTAGCTTTGCATAAAGTAAATTGTAACGAGGACATTGAATGAAATAAAGCAATAACACTTTAAGTTGAGGATAAAAAATTTGAAAGAAAAGTCCGTGAGGCCTTAGAGTTACAAAAACATCAATGTTCTCCAACGTACGGTGGTATGAATTTAGACAATGGACAATATTTAAAAACAAATATTTGGACATTATTTTTTCATACTTAGGTAAAAGAAGCCATTATAAAGGTGACGTCAAAATTTGAAAATTTTTTGTTGTTATTTAACGGTCACAATTTTTGTAATTATATTATACTAGCAAAAAGCAACCCGTAATACGGGTTTTGGTCGGTCTGTTACATAATTAATTTATAGTGGCTGTTTTCCACAATTTAATGTTGCAAAACCTTAACTAATACCCTTTTCGAAAATCGCCTTCAGCTTGAAAAATTAATCCATCTGTAGAATTAACATAAAATGTATGAGGAGGTAAAATAATTTACCAACTACTACTTAACATTTACTATTACTACTTAACATTATTTAAGTAATTTACAAATGGCATAGGTCATAACAGTGTTAGGCAGAACCATTTTCATCGACCTTCCTAAGTTTAACACAATATGTTTTTAGTTACTGACACAAATTAATAACACTTGGTCATGCTTTAAATTGACGAAAGTATCAACTAAATCCTTGTAATAATTTTTATATTACGAACCATTAAGATTAAAATGAAGTTAACTTATATTATACAGGAGTTATCAATTTTTTGGTATCACCTTGATTAATTGTTCTTTAGAAAAGAAAATTGTTAACTTAAAAATGTTAAATGCACACATTTAAATAAATTTATTAAAAATAACAAAGTTTATTATAAATAACTACGCAACTGAGTACAAATACCTTACAAACGAAAAAATTTAATTTACGATCAAACATGGGTATAACAAATTACCTTGTATAACAAAAATACCTTGAATAAGATGTTTATCAATTTTGAAAAACAAACTATTAAATGCTATAGTTTTTGATAATGCATATAGTTAACCATGAGAGAAACACGGTTTTTGAGATTGTTTTGTCTATATGTTTAATTTTGTGTTACGTAATACATGGTGGCCACAAAATTTTAAAAGTTAAATTCCAGGACATTTTGTTGCGTTTTCCAGGACATTTTATATCTAATTAAATGAATATTATTAATTATCTTTACGTTATAATTTTTTCATATTGATTGAATTAAGGAACAGAATATTATATTATTATATTATTACTACTATCTTATTCAAAATCAAATTCAAACCATTTATATAAAAAAAAATTTTCGCATAAATAATTTAATATTACTTCAATATTATTAGTAATTTTTTAACTTGTCTCAGAAAAAAAAAGTTCCAGGACATTTCAGGATTAATTTTCCAGAACACTTGCAAAAATCCAGGACATTCCAGGACTGTGGCCACCATGGTAATATATAGACGATCCCTAAAAAAAATACTTGAAACTAAAAGATTTTATTACAATATTTGAATAACCAAGGGACAATTTAAATAATTATATCTTTAAATAGCAAATTATTAATCGCAGTATTAAAAAATACGAAAGAGCTCAGTATTTACAGAATTTAATCAGAGCTCAGTAATTAAAGAGATCAGAGAAAAAAAAATCAATTCTCTCTCTACAATTCTTAATACTAATTCTTATTAAGTCTCATCTAAGAGAGAAAGGAAGTGTTTTAAAAACAGCATGTTAGAAAAAGTAAAAAAGTCATGCAGTAAATAACAGTAACTGGTTTTATTATGCTACTTTAAAGTGTCTAATGTAAAGTCAAATAATAGACATCAACACCGCTTGACACTGAATTCTGTCAAGTAAGTTTTCGGTTCATCAAGCAAAATTTCTTCAATTTCAACGACAAATAATTTTATTACGCCTAGATCTATTTCTTTCATATGACAACAATTTCAAGTCACCTATAACCATTTACACTAATAACTTCTTCGAGCCTAATATTATACATTTGTTATCATTAAATATATATTACCAGTAAATTATACTACTGTTACAACTGAATAAATGAACTTTTTATATTTTTACAACTGAAAAATATAAAACAAAATTTATTGACATTATTTTAATTTAGCAAAGAATTTAGAACACAATGCAAAGTTATTTGCATTGTGTTTTAAATTCTTTGCTAAATTAAGAAAGCCTTCAGGCACAATCATAATGCACAAAAATAATAAATGCAGAACCTTCTATAAAAATGAAGCAATGTCAGTCTAAAGTAATATATATATATATGTATGTATATATATTCAAATTTTTTCTGATCTTTTTAATTTTTTCTTTGAGATAATATTCATATAGATTCAGAGAAATATAAAATATTTTGATATATAGGCACATTTATGTATATAAACTTACCTGTCAAAAATTACAGTCAGTTTTCCATTTTAAATACATAAAATATATATATCTAATATAAAATTAAACAAAACATTAATCTTACTTAAATCAGTAACAGTTCGACTGTCTAAATACTTTTATTATTAACCTTTCTATTTAAAAAAAGAAACAATTGATTTGAAGTGACTAAAAAGCACTTTAGCCCGTTCCAATTGCACTAAAAAATAAAATAAATCTTGCTTTGCTAAGTTGCCTAGTTCTTAAGAATCTAAAAACAAATAAGTAAAAAACCAAGAACAAACAAACATTTATTCATTAAAAGTACTATATTTAAACAAATTAAATTAAACAGAGAACAACATTGATTCTCTTTGAAGGCTGAAAAACTTTTCAGCTCAAATTTGCTTGCAGACCTTGCTTATAAAACCACTTAAATAAGAAAAGCATCAAAAAAGCCTAGAAGCTACTTAAAAATGGTATATGTAACATTGAACTTTGAATGTTGACTGGAGTAGATATTTTTAAAAAATTCAAAATGATTTGTTATTCTATTGCAAATAAATACACCATAAATCTGAAGTTAAAAATGTAACGAGTAAGTAAATACAAAGAAAAAAATATGTGAATTGAAAATCAATGTACCTGATAGAGATAAGCTGTTGTGATACCTAATTAGTAGTTGCTAAATATTGTTTTTCATGATAAATAAATTGTATTTATAGCGAAATAATGTCTTGAATGAATTTTAGTAAATAAATAAAAGCAGTGAGTTCTAATAACGAAACTACCTATTAATCATTTTTAACATGATTGTTAAAAATGATTAATAGACACCAACGTAAAGATAAACCAAAGGTAACAACATTACGCGAAAAATTATTGAAGATAATGCAATGTGTTTTTTGAATAGTTATATAAAAGGCTAGGCAACACTTAGACCTAAAGCAGTAACATTGCATGACTGGTAAGGTTGATAAATCTTGCTCTACACGTTAGCCAAGTCACTCTACTTTGAAATCATGGAAACAACATTATATAAACATATATACTAATATAAAAAAATTCTCAAAACAAATATATAAAAAATTCAAACTAATGCAAAATAAAATTAATTTGCCATCATCAAAAGTAATATAGGTTTCTAAAGTTTATTTGATAGAAGGTAAGAAAAACCTGCAACCATATTAGCAAAAACTTATTAAAAAAAGTTAAAATTTATTCTGTTTTTAATAAAGAAAAAAAAATTTAGAAACAAACAACATATCTTTGCAGACAGCGTCATAAGGCATGCGTTAGGAGAAAACATTGAACAAAACGGGTAACAAAACTTATTAACGCGTTATGTACAATAGAAAACGGGTTATTAACGCAGGTTTATAAAATTTTTTCCCCCAACACACTATTATGCAGCCGCAACTCCAAGGATATACATAGTTATATTTACAGAATTTTTATTAATCATAATCAAGTTGTTGAACCAAAGAAATTGTAGAGGTTTATTTGATAAATAAACCTCTACAATTTCTTTGGTTCAGCAACTTGATTATGATTAATAAAAATTCTGTAAATATAAATTTTTTAATGATCTAAATCTTTATAAATTAGATATTTTATTGTATATCTTAATTATAAATTAAATAAATTATATTTATTCTAACTATAAATTAAATCTTTATAAATTAGGTATAAATAGAAAAACAAACATAAAATAACACAATTATATTCTAAACCAAAATTCAATCATGCAAGGCAAATTATTAATTTTTTGAAAAGAAAAAAAAACATATTTTTTTAAAAGAGCTAAAGTATTAACAATACTATAGATAAATTTTATTTATAACAAAATATTGTCATGGCTTTTATCTCAATTATTAAAAGCATTTGAAAGCATGAAACTACCCATAAATATCTTTTAATGGTAGACACCATCTAAGAGTTATAGTAATCTATATTTTCAATATTAACATGTATAACACAAAGCTTTAAATTTAAAAGTACAATTTAAAAAAGATTACAATAAACTAATTACTTATAAAATTTTAAAAAGATTTTATATATACTCAATGTTTACTTAGACATTTTGAAAAGATTTTGAAAACTTGAAACTTTAAATTTAAATTTTGAAAAACTGAAATTTTAATTCTACCTCAAAGAAAACAGATATATATTGAAAAGTATTTTTATTTTTTTGTTAAAACTTTTTGTTTTGTTTTGTTAAAACTAAACTTGTGAAACGTTTTGTTAAAACTAAACTTAATCCCTCTAATATTATTATATAATATATATAGTATATATGATAAATAAACCTCCACAATTTCCTTGGTTTAACAACTCGATTATGATTAATAACAACTCTGTAAACATGAATTTTCTAATAACCTAAATAAATTATAAACAATTAAACTTAAATAAAAGTGTATGCAAATGATAAATGCTATATTAAACACAGAAAGACAAACATAACACAATTAAATCCTAAACCAAAATTCATTCATGCAAGACAAATTATTATATTTATTGAAGAGCCAGAAACATATTTTTTTTCAAAGAGCAAAATTATTAACAATACTAAAGATAAATTTTATTTATAACAAAATTTTCAATAAAAACTAAATTAAGATAAATTTATAACAAAATATTTTCATGGCTTTTATCTCAATAACCAAAACTATGTGAAAGCATGAAACTACCCATAAATATATTTTAACGCTAGACACAATCTAATAACCTATAAATTTAAGCTACTAAATATTATCTACCTAATGTCAACTTGAACATTTTGAACTCGTACCATGAAAGGTTGAAAGTAAATCTTTAAGAAAGCACGCGGTAAAGAAAAGTCTAGAAACTACTTAAAAAGTGTATTTTACAGATACAGAACCGTACCGTAACTATAAAAAAATACGCGTAACTATGCGCACTATTCATTAGAGTATTAATATTTAGATTATATGCGGATGATGCTGGTGCCTATAGTGCGGCGAAAATTTCAAATAAATTATTTAGTATCAAGAGAATTCGTATTATCTGATGTTTTAAATTAGTTTATATATATATATATATATATATATATATATATATATATATATATATATATATATATATATATATATATATATATATATATATATATATATATATATATATATATATATATATATATATATATATATATATATATATATATATATATATATATATATATATATATATATATATATATATATATATAAATATATATATATACATAACGCGTAACTATGCGCAAGTTTTCAAGTTTTCAAAATCTTTTCAAAATGTCTAAGTAAACATTGAGTATATATAAAATCTTTTTAAAATTTTATAAGTAATTAGTTTATTGCAATCTTTTTTAAATTGTACTTTTAAATTTAACTTTAATTTTTCTCTGTTGTGCAACTCAATAATTTAATGACAACGGCATAATGTAATTTTATTCTTGGATGCTGAAGAACATTTTATATCCATTAATAAAACTAGAATCTCCTATCTAAGATGTCATGCACGCAACACATTAAAGTTCCACGACTTGATTATCTTTAAATCTTGCGCTTATCTTGATTATCTTTAAATCTTGCGCTTTAAGTCTTTCGACATATTTATTGTATGAAAATAATTGCTTGAACCTTCTTTTTAGATTATACGGAAAATGCTTTATATCTGTACGCTTGAATCATGTTACTAATTACTAATGATATTTTTTGGTTAGGTTATTTACTGTCAGGAAGCCGTCGGTACACTAATGGTCTGTTCTAATGTCGTTACACTCCGGTTAATGGATAAGATTACTGGAGTTTGCATTATATACTATTCGTCCAATATACACACTATTTATACTTTCTCCTGCAGCTACTGCAGCAGGTCTAACGTAAAGTGTTTTATGGTTTTTACGGGCAATTCGCCAATAGTACCAGCTGATTGAGGTCTAGACTAGACTAGACTAGACTAGACTGAGGACTTAAGGATACTGTTTTTAAAATTTTTTTCTCAATTAACACTGGGTTTGGCTTCATAACCGTTGTTTCTTTAACAACATTACAAATATGTTTATCTTTAAACAGCAGTTTCTTTAACAACATTACAAATATGTTCATCTTTAAACAGCAGTTTCTTTAACAACATTACAAATATGTTCATCTTTAAACAGCAGTTTCTTTAACAACATTACAAATATGTTCATCTTTAAACAGCAGTTTCTTTAACAACATTACAAATATGTTCATCTTTAAACAGCAGTTTCTTTAACAACATTACAAATATGTTCATCTTTAAACAGCAGTTTCTTTAACAACATTACAAATATGTTCATCTTTAAACAGCAGTTTCTTTAAACTATTACAAATATGTTCATCTTTAAACAGCAGTTTCTTTAACAACATTACAAATATGTTCATCTTTAAACAGCAGTTTCTTTAACAACATTACAAATATGTTCATCTTTAAACAGCAGTTTCTTTAACAACATTACAAATATGTTCATCTTTAAACAGCAGTTTCTTTAACAACATTACAAATATGTTCATCTTTAAACAGCAGTTTCTTTAACAACATTACAAATATGTTCATCTTTAAACAGCAGTTTCTTTAACAACATTACAAATATGTTCATCTTTAAACAGCAGTTTGCGTTGTTCCGGATCATGATCATAAGAGTTGAAGCACGCTTTTTTTTTCTTGACTTCTTTGGGCACCGATACATTTGCTTTTAGCCTTACATGATGATGTGTCATATTTTTTAGCTGCTGTCTCATGTTCATTAGACACTGACGAACTTGTTTGCTAGGGAGTTCTTAACAAAGATTTTATAGCAACCTGCATATTTAGCAATACCATTGTACATTATGCAGGTTATTAAAAACATTAACTTTTTAATCGGAACCGAATGGTATAAACTAACAAAATCAAAGGAGACCTAAACCTGATTCTTTTCGAATTCCATTAATTTTTCTATATTCACAAATTGTTGTGAATTTTTCGAATGCGTTTCAATTAAGTTTAGATTGAGTTTTCCCATGTCGGCTAAATACTTATAAATGCTATTTGTAGATGTACCAATGGTTATTTACTCAATATAAACGTGATGACGTCATTGGGGTAGCTGTTTTTATATTCTTTTTTGGTAAAACGTCCGATATATTATTATATTAGATAATAAATTAAGAAACAAACAGAGCTATATCTATATCAGTTTTTGAAGAAATCAAGTTACGTAATAATACTTACATCACAACTTTATTTGCTATTTCAATTAATGTTAAAAGCATTTTCAGTTTGTTAAAGGTTGTTCTTTTTTAAAGTTTTTACTTTATTTGTTGAATTACACTTTGTCTTAAACTTACTAAGACCAAATTTGCAAGTTAGTTTAAGACTTTGTCTTAAACTTACTTTTAAATTGATTTTCAAAAATTGATGAAAAGCTGCACTACTAATAATTGCACATTAACAGAAATCATTATTTCTTTTGTCTTTTCTTAGAACAACAGAAGTTTCAATTACTCTAACATTTAAATAGATAATAGATATCAGTATTTGAAATGTGGGAAAAACTCAAAATTTTGAAGATCTTTAGATATGATTTTTAAATGATAAGGTTGATTATGATCTTTGCATAAAAAGTCACCTTATTTTACTATTAAAATATAATTACTTATTACATAATAAAAATAGTTCAGTTAGCCTCCACATTTGAATAAGTTAACTTGATTGAATCTTTATTATATTCTTTGTTTTATATTCTGTAAATATTATATAATTTTTTTTTTTTGTATTTAGCAGATGCCATGCTTAATATATACCAAGAATGAACTAGAATTTTCGTTAAAGATATCCTGAAAAGAGCACTGAATAGAAAAAGCGTCGGTGACCGTGAAAAACTAAACATTGATATATTTTAGATCTGTAATTTGATAAATTTTTAGTCTTGTGTATACTTTCAATTTTGTGTTTTATTTGTTTTAAATAATAAAGTATACTGGTTGCCGTTTCTAAAATGTTATCTGAGTGTTAAACTTTTATCCCCAAAACCCTGGAAATTCCGTTATACGAACGATCAATCTAAGCGATGCAACTGATCTCCTTAAAACGTTTTGCGGCTCCAAAGACGCTTTTTGGTTTAAAACCAGTTTTTTAAACAATATTGGCCGTCCATGTCAACTTTATTCCAGTCTGTTGCAAATTAATCACCGTAGCGCGTTCAATTTTACAATCCATGGAGTCTCATCAAACGCAATCAAACTAACAAACAAAAATTTTTCAACCAAAAAATATGCAATTTTGGAAGTTTAAAATGAAACTTTTTAACAACATAATGGTTATCGTCAAGCTAAACCCTGATTTGTATTGGTTGCAATTCTTTTTAAAAACAAAATGAATGATTTTGTACTATTTTTTGCTCTCAGTCAAGCTAACGTTTTTTAGAAAGCAGATATAAAAAATTAACAGGTGACATTTCTACTACTGAATTTACCGTACTGTTAATGGTTTCAAGGGTAAATAAATAGATGAACAAGTCACCTTAATCATGTTAATTTTTATAAATGGCCCATACCGTAGGGGCTGCCCATAAAGGACGTCACGCATCTAGGGGAGGGAAGGGGTCTAGTTGTTTAATAAAATAAAAATTTTATATAATAGAATGTTTTATATAGTATATTTTTTTATCATAATGAATACTATTATTATTGTTGTTGTTATTATTGTTGTTGTTATTATTTTTGTTGTTATTATTATTATAACTAGTTTTATACTATTATTTTTATATTATTACTGTTGTTGTTATTATTGTTATTATTATTGTTATTATTAACATCGTTATTTATGTTATTTTTGTTACATCGTTATTTTATGTTATAAAGTTTATTATCGTTATTATATATTGTGAAAATTAGCATTATATTTATTTTAATTAGATATTATTAACTAGGTGTTTACTTTATATTAGTAAATTAACTATTTGTAAACATAAATTAATTGATAAATAGCCAACGTCTCATAAATAAATACTTTTCTTCTTTTATTATGAGTTATTAGTGATGTATATTTTGGTCTGATTTTTTTAACAAAATATTTCTTTCGTTTTGTTTTTTTTTCTTGGATCTATAAACTATATACAAAAATCAATTTAAAAAAAACCTTGACAAGCCAGTTATTTAAAACAATGAACGAAAAAATTAGTAATTTCTATGGCAAACTAGCAATCAATGTACTTGTTAAATTTAGCTGAAAAACGATGTGTATATTCATTCAAGTATATTAACGGATGAGAGAAAGATACTTTTATTTTCACAGTATATAAAAAGTTATGATATTTGAAACAAGTATGGAAAAATTGGTTGATAAATAGCCAACGCTAGTCTCATAAAAAGTTACTTTCCTTCTTTATTATGAGTTATTAGTAATGTATATTTTGGTCTGATTTTTTTAACAAAAGATTTCTTCCGTTTAGTTTTTTTTTTTACAAAAAAAAATCAGATCAAATGCTTAAACGAGTCCAAATTTAAATTTTTTAAAGATTTTAAGCAAGGCAAAATTTTATTCTCAGAAAATAACAAATATATGAAATGAAAGAACAAAACAACAATAAAAAGTTCAAAAATTTATCAAAATCCTCCAAGAATATAATTTGACTTATATTCTTCATCATCTTTCCTTTTCTTAGTGACACTGTCAGTCAACTTTTGAAGAGACCGTTTTGTAGTTTCTTTTTTTCTTTTCATTGAGTTTCATGGATGTAACATATTCTGTTAGTTGAAATTTAGTTAGTATAGAAAAAATTCCATGCGAAACTTCGTTAAGTTCAATACGAGCTAAATTAACTTCAGATTCTAAGACTACCAACAAAAGTAAATTTTGTGTAGTAGCAGCAGCAGCTTTAACTTCAGTAAGTAAAAAATTCTTTTGATGATTATGCGTATGAAATAGCTCTAGTTTTCTTGCATTAAGCATCTAAATAGAGCAGAGTGGTTTGAAAATTTTTTGAAAATAGATTTGCCTAGGTTACTTATTGTTGTCCTTTATTAGAAAAATTATCTTGAAAAAAGATGAGTGCTTAAGGTTTCTCTAGAATTCCAGTTTTTTGACAAGTCTTAATTTAAGTGAAATTTTTTTAATATATTTTTTCTCCCTGGAACTAAAAGAAGTGGAATAAAATGAATGATTGGAATAATTTCATTTAAATTACTTCATAAAATAATTAATAATTAGTTTTAATCTATAAGAGTTTTTATAGATTAGTAAAAAAATATAATTTAAACTTTATTTTTTTTACAAATCTATAAAAGTTGGTTTCAAAATGTTAAAGACTGCAATAGAAAGATTTATGTGCTCTACATATGTATTTACACCATGAAATTTGTCCGAATGAAATTTGTACCAAGTCTGTCAAATTTGTCAGTATCTTTTATGCACATAAGACGACGTCATTTCTTGTCGTCATAATCAGTACATTGTAATAAATCCGCCCAAATAGCTTTTTTCATAGCATACAAATTGTCAAGATTGTTTTTATGGCTAAGCCATAGAAGTACTGCATAAAACTGATTACAAATTTGGTTAACTTTTCTCTGTGATGGAGTCTTGTTTTTGTTCTCTTGTAAGTCTTGAAAACCTTACAAAGTCAATTGTCTATTTTCTTATGTACATGCGCAATAAACTCAAGTTTTGTGATACTGATACTTAAGTTTTTTGTCACTATCAATTTCATCTTTAAAAGAGGAGGTGTCACTATCAAATAAATATTTAAATGAGAAGATGTCACTATCCATAACATCTTTAAGTGAAGAGGTGTCACTATTTCCTAAATATTTATTATAAATCAATTTTTTTTTTCAATTGAGAGACTGAATAATTTGACTGCCAAAGCAGATTCTACAGCACCTAAAGAACATGGCATGGATGATTTGTCAACCATTCGAAACATTTCGGATATGATTTGTCAACCATTCTAAACATTTCATTATTATCAAATGTCAGCAAACTTTTAGAAAAGCTTATGAATTCTCGTATTTACAACTTTTTGAATAATTCTGCTTGTTTTCATACTTGACAGTTTGGGTTTCGCTCAAATCACTCTACTCCTCATGCTCTTATTAGCATTACTGAAATGATTTTTGGTGCAATTGACAGTCGTTCTTTTCCTTGTGGTGTATTCATAGATCTTCAAAAAGGTTTTGATACGGTTGATCACAACATTCTAATAAAAAGTTAAACTACTACGGAATATGTGGTATTGCTAATCATTGGTTTTCTTAATATATTAGGGATCGGACTCAGTTTGTTTCAATTAATGGATTTGAATCCACGTCTAAAGTTATTAAATATGACGTTCCACAAGGTTCCGATCTTGGACTGTAACTGTTTTTATTATATATAAATGATTTATCTTGTTTATTAAAAAATTCTATGGTACATCATTATACTGATGATACCTATCTTTTATATATCAACAAATCACTAACAACTCTTTGCAAAAAAGTTAATCAAGATCTTCATCGCTAATGTAACTGGTTAAATAGTAATCGTATTTCCTTGAATGCCAATAAAACTGAATACATTATTTTTCATTCTCTTTGAAAAACTATTGATACTATTAAAATTAAAGTTAACAGAAAAAAACTTTTCCCGTCAAAACATATGAAGTATCTTGAAATATATCTTGATGAAAACTTATCTTGGTATAATCAACTGTAACATCTTAAAAAAAACTTACACGAGCTAACAGTATGCTTTCGCTAATTCGTTATTATGTTCCTATCCTAACACTTCGAATGATTTATTTTTCTTTATTCTTTTCTGACCTTCGCTATTGTAGTATTGTTTAGGGTCAAAAAAGAAACTTTATACTAAAAAGAATTGCTAGTTTACAACGCACATCTATTAGAATAATGACGTTTTCCCCGATGAGATCTGATATCCAGAAAAATATTCTGAAATAAAAATCCTAAAATGATCTTGTAAAGTTTTATATTGTATTTTTGTTATTGACTTTCTCCAAAATAAACTCTTTTTTAAACTTTTTTATTAAAACAAATGAAATTTATAATCATCACACCAGGAATACAGAAAATAGTAGGCTATACTCTTCTATTTTTAACACAATTAAATATGGTAAGTTTTCCATAAAACAGCATTGTATTTCCGATCGGAACCAATGTATTTTTGCATTAATAAAAAAATAAAAAAAAATATCCCCTTATTACGGATTATTTACTGCTCAACAGAATTCAATTTAAAACTATATTGTTAGAGTGTATTTCTTTTTAATTTACCTCCGTTCTGTAGTTGTCTTTATATATAATTTTAACTTTATTATATAATTTTATTATATAACTTTAACAAGAGAGTGGTTTGATTTTTACTTTATTTATTATTTATCTATATTATATTTATTTATTATCGTGTAATTATTGCTACTTTTAATGTTATTAATACATTTAATCTATGGTATGTACATACAAATTATATTTTATTATAAATATTCTTAATATTATTAGTACTTTATTATTATTGTTATCATTTTGTATTATTACTATAGTTGTTATAAATATCATTGTTATTTGTTTAACTAACTTTTTTTTTTTCCTCTCTCTGATTTATATATATATATATATATATATATATATATATATATATATATATATATATAATATATATATATATATATATATATATATATATATATATATATATATATAAATCAATTATATATACATATATATATATATATATATAAATATATATATATATATATATATATATATATATATATATATATATATATATATATATATATATATATATATATATATATATATATATATATATATATATATATATATATATATATATATATATATATATATATATATATATATAAAATCAACCAGCTACGATGGTTTACATCCACGTGTCCTTAGTAAATGTTCAACTAGCTTCACCA